CCCCCCCATGGAGAGCCGGGAAATCCCCAAACCGAATCCACACTCAAGGTGCACACTCTACACAGCAGTATCAGCAGGGGAGGGAGCCCAAAAGAGAAACCGTTCCAGAGAAGAGAACAAGACAGAAAAATCCCCCTTCTGATTAAACTTCCTTGGTGTTGCCATACTTTCATTTCCCTCCCTGATATTCATCAAGACTGATTTCACAGCATTCAGAATGCTGATCTGAGTGATCTGCTCTGCAACTGTAACGGGCGGCTCAATGCAGAGGAACTGACAATAATACCTTTTGTCATTAAGAGAATTAAAAAGAAAAAGAGATGATGGTATGTTTCATTAATAAAGACGCACTGCATCCTGAGGCACATCAGCTAACAACTAGGGATACACTGACTGATCAACCAGTGACCGGAAATGACCGGTTTACATTCCAATCGGCGCTGACCAGCACTCGGCTAATCAGCCTAAATATGGGCGATTTTATGAGCCGATCAAGTAGTTTAAGTTACTATTTGTACCAACTAGTGACGGCAGACATGCTGATATTTACCTGGTTGCAATTGTCAGCCTGCATAACGTCTCAGTGCTGTCAGTGTATCTCACTTCTTTGTCAAATATTTATCTCAGTGGATCTTAACTTAGTGACTAGATCTTGAATTGATCATTTTAAAATGATTTGTTAACATTACCACATACACACAAAAATAAATACTGATCTATATTGTGGATCATGAGTATAACCAAAAGCATCATATCACGAAACCAGTACCCCACTCTGTTTCCATCCACAGTCATGCCCCTCACCTTCCCTGCCCCCACTAATCCTGTGTGACAGGTCAGGTAAAACACTTATGGAAAATGTCTGTGAATTTAATGCCTTCATCCGACACTTCAAGCGACTTAAGAAGTGAACAAAAAGTTGTCAGTGGAGAAACTACCACAAAAACATCTGGAGCAACCAGTTTAACATTTAGAGAGGCATTTTTATTTGTAAATACTACTTAAAATATGTTGCGTGCAGAAAGCTAAGTTCACTAGAGAAGCTTTAAAAATATTTAGCTTGCTAATTATTATTTCAACTAAGGAAACTGGAATCTTCCAGGTTCAGTATCAGGCTATCAGCAGGTCAGGCTTAAAGTAAATCGGCAAAAGGGAGCGCCGCTCTGGAGCAGAATGTTGACGCCCCCAAGCTCACCGCCTGAGCCGCAAGAAGGGACCCGGCAAAGGGCCAGAGACCAGGCCCAGCCTGCCCTACTCCTAATCCTCACCCTCAAGCACAGGCCGGGGGGCTTCCGATCTCGCTCTTCATCCCAGACGCAGGAGTCCAGCCCTTCTCGGTATATCAGAAAGCAACTCCTGCCATTACACCTAACTCCAAGAACTGCTGAGGATCCTGATGATCAGCAACGCCCGCAATCAGGCGCACGGACATGGAATAATCACGACCTGTCAGAGCTGTGCCCCCCGGATGCACATCTTCCATCGGGGCATTCTGTTAAATAGGAGAGCAAAAAGGAGGCCACGGAAACCAGGAGGGGCTGTGCAGACTAGCAAACAAAGGAGGAGGACATTCAGAAAACATAAAGTGCCCTCATGTGTACACCGAGGTTCCGTGCAAACGTGCCTCTTGTTCCGAATCTCTGTTACACGGTACAGATCGTAAGCACCTCCAGGGGAATGTGGGAAAGCGACAACACCGGCACGCTCAAAGACACATTTGTTAAGGATTAGCTTCCAGAAGTTCCATCTGGGTCACACGATCTGCCCACGGAACGGGGCGGAGCTTAACTCTGCTGTGTTAGCTGGCCGTCACCGTCTGCGTGAGCTGAGCAGGGGTGACATGCACGAACACAGAGAGATGCCACAGAAAACACAGACACCCAACGTTACATACAAACATCCCACACAATAGAGTCCAGCAAAGACTGGATCACTCACTACAGCATATGCTTACATATCAGGATTGTGCAACACGTGAATGCCTTTCCAAAACATGACTAATCTTTTCTGGGAAGAAAGAGGTCCCTGTGCAGAACAGCCAGATCAGCTGACGCTCTTTCTGCGAGCAAGGGTCGCATCACTGCATCAATACTCCACCAGAAACAAACCCCCGGCGTAACCAGAGATTACAAGCGCAACCTTCAACGTTTCATTTATAATTCAAACTCTAGCGGAGACACCCACTAGCTGTGGGACCTTGTGCTATGATGTGGTCCCAATTCAGAAAGCCACACATACAGTCCTTCACTGGAAACCTTTTACAAAACGCCTTCAGCTACACTGTCTTCACGCAAACACTGACCCTGAGCTTGACAGAGGGAACACGTCAGTGCTTGAGAACAGTAAACAAAACTCTCAAGGAGTGTAAGCATGAAGAACATCACAGAGGAAAGCGGGTTTCAACAACACAAAAAGAGCAAGGACACCAACAAAGAGAAGCCATTTCAAAATAATGCCTACGGTGGCCATCACCAGACAATATAGGTGTCAGTTTGGATTAACCAGTTTGAAAAACTCAAAATGACTCTCATCTCATCTCTGAGCATTAGTTTTTAATGCTTCCTAAACTTATCACATATACACTAGAACGGTAGATCCGCTGTAGACGTCTTTGGAAGCTTCCCTTCATTGAGTTAAAGCTTCCTTATTCATATCCTACATCTATAAATCATGTATTGAAGAACTGCATTATTGCCGTCACTAAGAAGGAAGCTATATTTTTAACTGGACAAACTGAGCTTTCAACTACTTGAAAAGGCAAACGACTAGCAAACGCGAGGACATTATTCACGTTTATGGCGAAGCTGATGACCGCTTTCTGAATGCTCTGCCGCTTCCGTCCCCACGGGCACCCAGCACGTACCTGAGACATAATCCCGATCCAGCGGCGGGACATCATCCGTGCTGGAGAAATCCAGTGTGGCCCCAGCGATTTCCACCATGTCCTCGTCACTGGTGCCGCTCTGGAGGCTACTGAAGCTGTCGTTGCAGTACCCTGCATTTTCCATGCTGATATAAAAACACGGCCGAGGTGAAGTTAGTGTAATATTCGGCATTCATTTGACATTCAAAATACAAACATATTACGCGCTTCAGCCGTTTCAGTGGCTGATGTCAAAGGAGCTGTCCAGCATAGAGGCTACTCTGCTTCATGAGCCACAAGGCTAGTTTTTGAAATGTTCCTCTTGTACATTTATTTTAGAATTAAAAATGACTTGCACATGCATGTTCCAAAAACAAGCATTGCAGCCTGTGAAGCACAGTAGTCTTTATGTTGCCCAGCCGGTTCTACATATCAGCATACCAGCTTTATGTGCATGTGTACGTCATTTTTAATTCTATTTTAAATGTCAAATGAATGCTGAATATTAAACTAACTTTAATTTAAGATGTTACCGATCTTTACGCAGAGGCCAGGTGCTTGGTTAACGGCCACCAGGGTCCCTGTATAATAATCTTGAAAATGAAGTGTCTGCATTTGAGAGCTAAACATCCACGTAGACATCAGACACCACTGTCGACCCCATCTCACTTCCACCACAGTGATAAGATTATCTAGGCGGCCGCAGCTGTGTGGCGTCCCTCTAAAAGCCGAGGGGCAACTAAAACCAGCTGATATTTTAATAACATCATAAAACGAGATAAGTTAAATCCTAATTATACCACGAGAATATTACAATCGGGGTCAGATTACAGCAACAACAACACGGCACCATCATCAGTTCGCCTAGTGGAGTCCTGTCATTGTACAGGAGTATGAGTTTATAAGCCGGCAGCAGAGGAAGGGAGAGCCATCGGTAAGCCAAGCGCAAGGCGGGCATCCCGAGAGAAGAGAGTCATCCATGAGAGCCACCCATAAGGAAGGAGAGTCACCCATAATGAAGGAGAGTCATCCATAAAGAAGGACAGGAAGGAAGAAGGAAGGAGAGCCACCCATAAAGAAGGAGCCATCCATCTCCGGCAATCCCGGCAAAGTGGCCCGGCACTTCCGCCGCGATCCGGGTGGACCCCCTCCCTAGCAGCGGCCGCTGACTCGTACCGAGCCCCCGTAACCATGCCGACCCCCTGACACTAACTAGATTACTGCTGTAGACTAGTAACTGACTGAGAGCGGCAGACTAACGAGCCGAGATGTCGCAGACTCCCAGCAAATTACTGACACGACAGCGGCGTTTTACCCCGATAAGCCGGTTAATAACGGGCAGAGCTGCGGGTTCACGCGGTAACAGGTGATTCAGAGAGGCCGGGAGACCTACCTGTCAGCATGGGCAGCGCCGCTAATTACGAAGACTAGTTACCGGCCGGCCAGCTGGTTAAAAAAAAAATCCGTTGCTATTCGTAGGCAACAGAGCGCTGGTTAATGAAAGACTTCAGCTGAAGCTGAATGAAACGTGAAAGCGAGAAGCTACCCGCGGGCCTGCTGGCGACGCTGTCACGGACCCATGGCTCTGCTGAGGTCCGGAAATCAGCAGCGAGGCGGACCAGGTCTCTCGGCTGCTGGGAAGCGGACCGCCCTCCGGCCGCCGCGGCGCAGCTGCCCGGCCGAGTCCCGTCAGACCGCACTGTCGATCCCAGAGCGGGGGGGGCCGGGACGCCGATCGACTTATCGACCATCGACTACGTAGACGCACGGTTATCAATGAAAACGAAGGGTGCGACTTTTAGCTAGACGTTTAAATTGTATATCTTATGGTAGTACAAGTAAATGGTTAATTAAAACTATGTAAAGCAGTGCCGTATGACCGACTGCTGTCAGGAATTCGTTTTTAAAATGGCAGTATTTTTCATAAATCACGTGAAATTAGGTACTTCCTTATTATAAAAATAATGTTTACAGGGTAAATGTCGACATCTAGTGGAAATGTTGAATATTTCTTTAAACTTCCAGCAATCATTCGACACCTATTATAGCAAAGTGGCTACTTCACACCTCCAGGGTGGGCTATTCCAGTCCTGCCTGCGCTCCGTGACCTCCCTACGAGTTGCCTCACCCATTCATGACCCTGATCAGGGAACTGGTTGGAAGATGGGTGGATGGATATAGCTAATAGCCGAACATAATATATTAATGTTCTATATACCAGAAAGGACCTGTCACTTTCCCATTAATCTCTACATTTACATGGATCTACCCAGTTCTCCAGATTCACAGCACTTCTAACACTGTAATCACTTTTGCACTTAACGTCACTTTATGTCACTGTGTCCTTGTTCAACTGCCCTGTGTGCCTTAATTGCCCCTCGGGGACAAATAAAGTTCTTTGAATTGAATTGAATTGAATTCAGCAGGGGCTCTCCTTAGTTTACCAAGTCTAATCTGTCACCTGCCTCATGCCCTGTGCCTTCTGAAACAGGCTCCAGGACCACCATGACCCTGAACTGGATGAGTTATGGGAGATAGAAACTGCATTTCCCAGAATGCAGAGCTTGCTGCTAATGCCTTGTACTCCATGTTCTCCTTTGGGTCAGATGAATGGATTGCTGATTGGACAAGCGGTTAATGAAAATAAATCACATAATTCCAAGACTTTTAAATCTTTGGTTCAGGAGTTTTTATGTCCGTGCATTTTAACGCATATATGTATTCTTCACTCCTGTTCTGTTTTGTCCATGGAAGTCAGCCTTCAATTCTGGGACTGCTGTTTGCAGACACACTGCAGTGTTACAGCTGCCAGACTTAAGTTGATCTAATGCTGTCTCAGTGCAGTCTGACTGTCAAGATGACTGTAATTATCTAGCAACATCCTCCTTTCGAGATCTCAGATCTTACAATGCAAAGAAGTGAAAAAAATTACACAACACACAGACCTTTTAAAAATATTAATTATTATTACGGGTATGCATGTCTTACAAAATGCTTTGCAATAAATCGAGAAAATAAGTATAAACGTTTCAAGTGAGAAACTATATGGGAACAAATAAGCGTAACATACAAAGTTTTATATACACAGAACAGAATTAAGACAAAATACATATATAGCATAAATTAAAAAAAAAGAGTTATATACATTTCCTTTTTGGGCACAAAAACAATTGTCAGTATGTAAGTCACTGCAGGCGGTTACAAAACGGTGGATATGCTTTACAGATTTCAAAAAACATCCCATTTCATAATTTGCTCTGATACAGAAGCATTTACTTCTATAAAAGCAGCGGAGTTTCCTTCTTTGACTGTATATCTCTTGATTGCATGTCCAGTTTAACTGGCTTACCGACAGCATCAAATGACTCCTAAAATGGACAATGAAGGGATCTGTGTTTGCTGACAGCGAACCTGATCCTTAACGAGCTAATGATGCTATGCTAATGATGCCACCGTTCTGATCAGTACATTTATGCAATAGATAAGAAATCTGCTAAAAGCCAGTTACAAAAGGCTTTTAAAACTCATGACAGAGGTCGGTCCCAGTATGACCACACTTCTGTCTGATTTGGTATTTATCCGTCTGCAGACTACCGGCGGTCCGAAAATCACAAATGAAAATCCTTTGGTACAAAGCTTTGGAAAACCTGAATTGGAAGAGAAACAAGGAATCCGTAACAGTGGGGGGAAAAACAAAAAGAGGCAAATTTGGACCCCCAAAGGTGAGTTTTGCCCCAAAGGAGGGCGTGGCCTGATCCCGAGAAGCTTAGAGTTCCTTGAGGAGAAGCTCCCTTGGGCCGGTCATGTGACCTGGCTTTAAAATAAATAAATAAATAAATAACAATTGTGTGTGGTTATAGGAGAAAGAAAAAAACAACACCACTAGTGTCATGTCACCTTGTGGTGACTTTATATGACATTACAGTTACAGAATCAAATGGCCCACAGCCTAACTTTCTCCCGCTTCCAAGCACGTCTGTTAAGGTAATGGTTACAATTAGCAAATAGAAACAGAAGAAGAAGAATAGTGATAAGCACCATAGTTTGTTCCAGTCTCTCCACTGTAAAGCAGATATTTTGGTAAGTTATCCTTATAGCCCCCAGGGGGCGGACTATTGCCATCCGCCCCCCCGACCGCCTCCCCCCCCCAGCCCCGGAGTCAGCAGAAGCCGGAGGCCCGATCCAACGCGCCGCTCAGCGCCAAGCTCTCCCTCAGCCCGCACAGCTGCTCCTCGCCCAGCCGGATCTTGTCCTCCAGCTGCCGCTGCTCCACCAGCAGGGCGGCCTTCATCTTGACGAAGTGGCTGTAGTCGCGGAGCTGCTCCGGGGCCAGGCTGCGGCCCAGCGCCCGGCACACCGCCTGCTCCCGCCGCTCCACGTGCTCCTTCAGCTCCTGAGCCTCCCCCAGCTGGCTGAGGAGCTGCTGCTTTTTCTGCAGGAGACTGAGCTGTGGAGGGAGGCGCAAACTAGCTGAGAGTGTTCAGACGTGTGGAGGGAGTCGCAAACTAGCTGAGAGTGTTCAGACGTGTGGAGGGAGGCGCAAACTAGCTGAGAGTGTTCAGACGTGTGGAAGGAGGCGCAAACCAGCTGAGAGTGTTCAGGCGTGTGGAGGGAGGCACAAACTAGCTGAGAGTGTTCAGGCATGTGGAAGGAGGCGCAAACTAGCTGAGAGTGTTCAGGCGTGTGGAGGGAGGCGCAAACTAGCTGAGAGTGTTCAGACGTGTGGAGGGAGGCGCAAACTAGCTGAGAGTGTTCAGACGTGTGGAGGGAGTCGCAAACCTGCTGAGAGTGTTCAGGCGTGTGGAGGGAGGCACAAACTAGCTGAGAGTGTTCAGGCATGTGGAGGGAGGTGCAAACTAGCTGAGAGTGTTCAGGCGTGTGGAGGGAGGCGCAAACTAGCTGAGAGTGTTCAGGTGTAGAAAAGGACTAGAATACATACAAATTAACACAATAAAAAGAAAAGATTTTCTTCTGTTCTCCAAAAAATGACTGATATCTGGTTGGACGGCTAGATGAACTTTGCTTCAGCTCCCAAACCTCTCCTCAGGGGTGCCCCAGTCATTCCACGTGTCTGTTAAATTTCACCACCAGCTCACTTAATTAATTAATTTAATTTGTGAAATAATTTGATGAGCTATTAATTAGCCGAACATAAAACGCTAGTGTTTGAGTTAATAAGTACATGGGTTTATTCGATGGTTACCGCAAGTACTGGGGTGATTTTACGAAAGGTTGTAAAAAGTCAACAAAAAGACATGAAATTATTATTTTTTTTTTTTTACACCGACATGAAGATAATTTTCTTTGACTCCCTAAGACTTTTGCACATTTACCGATTCCCCCTTTTGCAAGTTTTAGATACCATTATATCTAGGCGTTTACTTTAGACAAACTTGTTCCGGTGGTTCCTTAAGATTACAGAACTACGCAGGCACTGAATCGCGCAAAGAACATTGTGAGCCACTATCTACCAAAGAGGCACTGAGTGTCCAGAACGCACTCAATGCTGAGATTATCAAGCAAACAGTATGATTACTTGTTGATGCATGATTATTCCCTAACAGATCTGCTTGCTCTGTATAAAGACAACGAGGCAGTAGGAATCAGGGACCGCCCCCCCCCCCCCGGCTCGCTTACCCGCTCCTGGGGCCCGCAGTCCGCGCCCAGACTCTCCAGGTTGCTCTCCACGCGCAGCAGCCTCCCGGACAGCGACAGCAACAGGCTCACCACCATGTCCAGGTCCCCGATGAACATGCGGTACTTGTCAACCTCGCCGGGCTTGCAAACGGCCAGCACCAGCGCCTCCACCTCTTCTCCGAGCTGGTAGTTGGCTTGGATGTCCTCGCGCAGGCCTTGCTGAGCTTCTCGCAGCACGTCCAGCTTCTTCTCCAGGCTCTCGATCAGCTGCTGCTGCCAGGAGGACCGCGTGAGATATACGCCAGCGCATGTGGGAGTCGAGGCTCTGAACGTGGACGTGCGCGGCGCTCTGCTTCAGGTACGGCATACGGTACAATGCGGGAGACACTGTGTGACTGCAACGCTCTGCTGATCCCTAATCTAGGGGGATTCTCATAGCTTTGTACAGGTGCCAGGCAAACTCATCATTTCCTGCATCTACTTCATTTGATTCGATTTGGCACCGTGGATCGCTGTGGTTAGTACCACAGCCACGTTAGCAGGGTTGTGGGGTCAAATCCCACCCTCTGTTCCATGTTTGTGTGTGTAACAACAAATGGTTTGGTGAACTGGTGTCTCAAACCAGAGTTAGAGAGTGTGAGCCCTGCAACGCACAGCCGTCCTGTCCAGACTGTCCCCTGCCTGATGTTCTGTGTCTTGTGACACCCTTGTACTGGATAAGCAAGTGCTTATGGATGGATGGATGGATGCCTTTCCTGCTGCAGGCGCTGTTACCTTCTTATAGGAGAGCTCGTGATCTTCCTCATCCTCCCCGAAGCTCGTCTGTTCCTTCATTTTGGTAAGAAGCTGCGCTTTGGCAGCAGAGGTGCCGTAATATGACAAGCACCTGCTCCCAGGGCCTGGAGGATGGAAGGGGGGCCGTCTGGCCCTCCTGAGATGGGGGTGCGAATGAGACAGGCATTGTAAGTCCACCTTAAATGGTTCACACTTTACTTTTCCTTGTACACTTTCATGCTGGGGATTGTGCGGGCAGCTTTTGCTCATACTGGATGTGGATGTGGATGTGGATGTGGATGGCTGCAGCCCACCTGACCAGCAGAGGGCAGATGTATTGCAACAAACACAAGTAGTGTAGTGATAGGGGTAAACTTTTATCAACAGTCTTAAAGTTAGTAGTCACGGCTGATTGTAGTATTACGGTAATAAGGCAACACACAGTATTCTGAAATTCTTACGACAAAATTAGCCAGGACTCTAACGCCCT